TCCGGACTGGAAGGGGGGAAAGTGTCCCGGACTGGAAGGGGGGAAAGTGTCCGGACTGGAAGGGGGGGAGAGTGTCCGGACTGGAAAGGGGGGGGAGAGTGTCCGGACTGGAAGGGGGAAAGTGTCCGGACTGGAAGGGGGGAGGGGGAAAGTGTCCGGACTGGAAGGGGGGGGGAAAGTGTCCGGACTGGAAGGGGGGAAAGTGTCCGGACTGGAAAGGGGGGAGAGTGTCCGGACTGGAAGGGGGGGGGGAGTGTCCGGACTGGAAGGGGGGGGGAAAGTGTCCGGACTGGAAGGGGGGGGGAAAGTGTCCGGACTGGAAGGGGGGGAAAGTGTCCGGACTGGAAGGGGGGGAAAGTGTCCGGACTGGAAAGGGGGGAGAGTGTCCGGACTGGAAGGGGGGGGAGTGGGGGGGGGGAAAGTGTCCGGACTGGAAGGGGGGGGGGGGGAAAGTGTCCGGACTGGAAGGGGGGGAAAGTGTCCGGACTGGAAGGGGGGGGGGGGAAAGTGTCCGGACTGGGGGGGGGGGGGGGAAAGTGTCCGGACAGGAAGGGGGGGGGGAAAGTGTCCGGACTGGAAGGGGGGGAAAGTGTCTGGACTGGAAGGGGGGGGGAGAGTGTCCGGACTGGAAAGGGGGGGAAAGTGTCCGGACTGGAAGGGGGGGGGAAAGTGTCCGGACTGGAAGGGGGGGGGGGAAAGTGTCCGGACTGGAAGGGGGGGGGGGGGGAAAGTGTCCAGACTGGAAGGGGGGGGGGGGGAAGTGTCCGGACTGGAAGGGGGGGAAAAGTGTCCGGACTGGAAGGGGGGGGGGGGAAAGTGTCCGGACTGGAAGGGGGGGGAAGTGTCCGGACTGGAAGGGGGGGGAAAGTGTCCGGACTGGAAGAGGGGGAAAGTGTCCGGACTGGAAGGGGGGGAAAGTGTCCGGACTGGAAGGGGGGGAAAGTGTTCGGACTGGAGGGGGGGGAAAGTGTCCGGACTGGAAGGGGGGAAAGTGTCCGGACTGGAAGGGGGTGAAAGTGTCCGGACTGGAAAAGGGGGAAAGTGTCCGGACTGGAAAGGGGGGAAAGTGTCCGGACTGGAAGGGGGCGAAAGTGTCCGGACTGGAAGGGGGGGGGGGGGGAGAAGTGTCCGGACTGGAAAGGGGGGGGAGAGTGTCCGGACTGGAAAGGGGGGAGAGTGTCCGGACTGGAAGGGGGAGGGGGAAAGTGTCCGGACTGGAAGGGGGGGGGAAAGTGTCCGGACTGGAAGGGGGGGAAAGTGTCCGGACTGGAAAGGGGGGAGAGTGTCCGGACTGGAAGGGGGAGGGGGAAAGTGTCCGGACTGGAAGGGGGGGGGGGGAAAATGTCCGGACTGGAAGGGGGGGGGGAAAGTGTCCGGACTGGAAGGGGGGGGGGGGAAAGTGTCCGGACTGGAAAGGGGGGAGAGAGTGTCCGGACTGGAACGGGGGGGGGGAAAGTGTCCGGACTGGAGGGGGGGAGGGGGAAAGTGTCCGGACTGGAAGGGGGGGGGGAAAGTGTCCGGACTGGAAGGGGGGGGGAAAGTGTCCGGACAGGAAGGGGGGGAAATTTTCTGGACAGGAAAGGGGGGAAAGTGTCCGGACTGGAAGGGGGGGAAAGTGTCCGGACTGGAAGGGGGAGAAAGTGTCCAGACTGGAAGGGGGGGGGAAAGTGTCCGGACTGGAAGGGGAGGAAAGTGTCCGGAAAGGAAGGGGGGGGGGGAAGTGTCCGGAATGGAAGGGGGAGGGGGGAAAGTGTCCGGACTGGAAGGGGGAGAGGGAAAGTGTCCGGACTGGAAGGGGGAGGGGGAAAGTGTCCGGATTGGAAGGGGGGGGAAAGTGTCCGGACTGGAAGGGGGGGAAAGTGTCCAGACTGGAAAGGGGGGGGAAAGTGTCCGGACTGGAAGGGGGGGGGGGAAAGTGTCCGGACTGGAAGGGGGAGGGGGAAAGTGTCCGGACTGGAAGGGGGGGGGGAAAGTGTCCGGACTGGAAGGGGGGGAAAGTGTCCGGACTGGAAGGGGGGGAAAGTGTCCGGACTGGAAGGGGGGGGAAAGTGTCCGGACTGGAAAGGGGGGGAAAGTGTCCGGACTGGAAGGGGGGGGGACAGGAAGGGGGGAAAGTGTCCGGACTGGAAGGGGGGAAAGTGTCCGGACTGGAAGGGGGGGAAAGTGTCCGGACTGGAAGGGGGAAAGTGTCCGGACTGGAAGGGGGTGAAAGTGTCCGGACTGGAAGGGGGTGAAAGTGTCCGGACTGGAAGGGGGTGAAAGTGTCCGGACTGGAAGGGGGTGAAAGTGTCCGGACTGGAAGGGGGTGAAAGTGTCTGGACTGGAAGGGGGGGTGAAAGTTTCCGGACTGGAAGGGGGTGAAAGTGTCCGGACTGGAAGGGGGTGAAAGTTTCCGGACTGGAAGAGGGTGAAAGTGTCCGGACTGGAAGGGGGGGAAAGTTTCCGGACTGGAGGGGGGGAAAGTGTCCGGACTGGAAGGGGGGGAAAGTGTCCGGACTGGAAGGGGGGGAAAGTGTCCGGACTGGAAGGGGGGGAAAGTGTCCGGACTGGAAGGGGGGGAAAGTGTCCGGACTGGAAGGGGGGGAAAGTGTCCTGACTGGAAGGGGGGAAAGTGTGCGGACTGGAAGGGGGGGGGGGAGTGTGTCCGGACTGGAAGGGGGGAAAGTGTCCGGACTGGAAGGGGGGAAAGTGTCCGGACTGGAAGGGGGGGGGAAAGTGTTCGGACTGGAAGGGGGGGGAAAGTGTCCGGACTGGAAGGGGGGGAAAGTGTCCTGACTGGAAGGGGGAAAGTGTGCGGACTGGAAGGGGGGGGGGAAGTGTCCGACTTGAAGGGGGGAAAGTGTCCGGACTGGAAGGGGGGGGGGAAAGCGTCCGGACTGGAAGCGGGGAAAGTGTCCGGACTGGAAGGGGGGGGAAAGGTCCGGACTGGAAGGGGGGAAAGCGTCCGGACTTGAAGGGGGGGAAAGTGTCCGGACTGGAAGGGGGGGAAAGTGTCCGGACTGGAAGGAGGGGAAAGTGTCTGGACTGGAAGGGGGAGGGGGGAAAGTGTCCGGACTGGAAGGGGGGGAAGTGTCCGGACTGGAAGGGGGGGAAAGTGTCCGGACTGGAAATGGGGGAGAGTGTCTGGATTGGAAGGGGGAGGGGGAAAGTGTCCGGACTGGAAGGGGGGGAAAGTGTCCGGACTGGAAGAGGGGTGAAAGTGTCCGGACTGGAAGGGGGTGAAAGTGTCCGGACTGGAAGGGGGGGAAGTGTCTGGACTGGAAGGGGGGGAAAGCGTCTGGACTGGAAGCGGGGAAAGTGTCCGGACTGGAAGGGGGGGGAAAGCGTCCGGACTGGAAGGGGGGAAAGCGTCCGGACTTGAAGGGGGGGAAAGTGTCCGGACTGGAAGGGGGGGAAAGTGTCCGGACTGGAAGGAGGGGAAAGTGTCTGGACTGGAAGGGGGAGGGGGAAAGTGTCCGGACGGACTGGGGGGGAAGTGTCCGGACTGGAAGGGGGGGAAAGTGTCCGGACTGGAAAGGGGGGGAGAGTGTCTGGATTGGAAGGGGGAGGGGGACTGGAAGGGGGGGAAAGTGTCCGGACTGGAAGGGGGGGAAAGTGTCCGGACTGGAAGGGGGTGAAAGTGTCTGGACTGGAAGGGGGGGAAGTGTCTGGACTGGAAGGGGGGAAAGTGTCTGGACTGGAAGGGGAGTGAAAGTGTCCAGACTGGAAGGGGGGGAAAGTGTCCGGACTGGAAGGGGGGGAAAGTGTCCGGACTGGAAGGGGGGGGGAAGTGTCCGGACTGGAAGGGGGGGAAAGTGTCCGGACTGGAAGGGGGGGGAAAAGTGTCCGGACTGGAAGGGGGGAAGTGTCCGGACTGGAAGGGGGGAAAGTGTCCGGACTGGAAGGGGTTTAAAAAACTACCGATATACATTGTAACAAGATGAAACAATACGCACGTCAGGCCAAATAGCGTCTATCCCCCGCAGGCAGAGCGTGTATATATATATATACACACATCAGCTCTCCTTAGATACTCCAATTTATGGTAATGATGTCATTTAACCCGACCCGGGAGCCGGGCTGACAACTTGCGCGTTGTGTCGGTTATTAGAGCAACGCCCTCGGATGTTCGCTCGGACCGAGGGCTCAAAGACATCATTATCATAAATTGGAGGATCTGGCGATTGAACTGATAATACCATTTGAAGGTATGGTGATGTCAGACCTCGAGGTATATATATATATACAGTATATACACTGTGAGGGGAATTGATTTTATTCGGTTTGAAATGTCTGCGTTGTGTAATCGTGATGCGAATTATTCATCTGTATATGTCTGCTTAATAGAAATAGATACATGAAGGATACATTCACACTGGAACGGGTGCGGGAGAGGCATGTCATTACACGCTAATACGCGCTGCTGCGTAGGAGAGGGGGGGGGGGTATGGCGCCCCCATGCACTGAGAACTGCACTTCACTTTGTGGTTTTTCCTGCACCCATTTTTTTTTTTGTTTTTTTTGGAAACGGTGCAGGGAACATTTCCAGAAATGCATGAAATCGATCCGCACTGCTCTAAAATCTTCATTTTTATTAAATCAACCGCGGTAAGAACATCCCGGGTACAAAGGCGGACGCGTTTCGGCTTAGTCATACCCTATAGCATGGGTACAGGTCATGCTTAACCCCTCCCCCTCCAGAAGATTCCCCCTCCCCCCTTCCATGCATCCTCTTGTTTCTTTTCTTTCAAATGATTGGGTTGCTGAGCAAATTCAGCCGCAGAAACAAGAATATTACTCAAGCTGAATTCAAGTTACATTTGGAGAACCTTTCTCTTCCTCTGTTACCTATAGGAGGCCAAAAGAGAGAAACGGTCCGCTGCAGGAATGATGGGCACCGGGGAGAGCAGGGGCTGTGCATAAGGGGAGGGGTTTGGTGATGTCACGACGCTCACGGTCAGCTTACCCACTCCAGAGAGAGGTCATGGAGGGGAATACGGAGAGAGCCAGAGGGTGTCAGCTACAATATACACTATATTGCCAAATGTATTGGGCCAGCCCTCCAAATCATGTGATTCAGGTGCTCCAATCCCCTCCATATCATGTGATTCAGGTGTCCCAATCCCCTCCATATCATGTGATTCAGGTGTTCCAATCCCCTCCATATCATGTGATTCAGGTGTTCCAATCCCCTCCATATCATGTGATTCAGGTGCTCCAAACCCCTCCATATCATGTGCTTCAGGTATTCCAATCCCCTCCATATCATGTGATTCAGGTGTTCCAATCCCCTCCATATCATGTGATTTAGGTGTTCCAATCCCCCCATATCATGTGATTCAGGTGTCCCAATCCTGTCCATATCATGTGATTCAGGTGTTCCCAATCCCCTCCATATCATGTGATTCAGGTGTTCCAATCCCCTCCATAGCATGTGATTCAGGTGTTCCAATCCCCCCCCCCATATCATGTGATTCAGGTGTCCCAATCCCCTCCCAATCATGTGATTCAGGTGTTCCAATCCCCTCCATATCATGTGATTCAGGTGTTCCAATCCCCTCCATATCATGTGATTCAGGTGTTCCAATCCCCTCCATATCATGTGATTCAGGTGCTCCAATTCCATGGACACAGGTGTATACAATCCCCTAGGCATGCCACGGCTTCTACAAACATTGTGAATGGGTCGCTTCAGGTGCTCCAATCCCGTGATAGGTGGCCATGCAATAAGTCCATCATGTGATTCAGGTGTTTCAATCCCTCCATATCATGTGATTCAGGTTTTCCAATCCCCTCCATATCATGTGATTCAGGTGCTCCAATCCCCTCTATGGACACAGGTGTATACAATCAAGCCCCTAGGCATGCAGACGGCTTCTACAAACATTGGTGAAAGAATGGGTCGCTCTCAGGAGCTCAGTGACTCCAAGCGTGGTCCCGTGATAGGTGGCCACCTGGGCAATAAGTCCATCCGTGACATTTCCTGGCTACTAAATATTCCACGCTCAACTGTTAGTGGGATTATAACAAAGTGGAAGCAACGGGAACAACAGCCACTCAGCCACCAAGTGGTAGGCCACGTCACATGACAGGGCGGGGTCAGCGCATGCTGAAGCGCACAGTGCGCAGAAGTCGCCAACTGTCTGCAGAGTCAATAGCTAAAGACCTCCAAACTTGGTGTGGCCTTCAGATGAGCCCAACAACAGTGCGTAGAGAGCTCCATGGAATGGGTTTCCATGGCCGAGCAGCTGCATCCAAGCCTTCCATCACCAAGTGCAATGCAAAGCGTCAGATGCCGTGGTGTAAAGCATACCGCCACTGGACTCTAGAGCACGGGACATTCTCTGGAGTGACCAATCATGCTTCTCTGTCTGGCAATCCAATGGACATGTCTGGGTTTGGTGGTGGCCAGGAGAACGGTACTTGCCTTGCTGCATTGTGCCAAGTGTAAAGTTTGGTGGATTATGGGTGTGGGGGTGTTCTTAGGGCTTGGGCTTGGCCCCCTAGTTCCAGTGAAAGGAACTCTTAAGGTGACATTTTGGACAATTTCATGGAGATTTCAGGATGATCTGGTTTCCCATATGGCCCGTGTGGCTGGTGGCCTGTGTTTGGACGTTTGCCTCACCAGCCAATCCAGGGCCATACTGCGATCACGTAACTGATTTCACTATGTTGTTACCTATCTCGGTTACTACCATGATGCTGTTTGTTTACTTGATTATTTGTTATACTTGGCTCATTTATTGCCGTATGTTTTGTAGCTTCTGTGCACTTCATATTGTACGTTTTTTGGCTACTCTACCAGAAAATGTATAAATAAAGGAATTACGAAAAAAAAAAATTCTGGGCGAGAGCTCAACTAACGTCATTGAGGGTGGAGGTGTACTATACAGTGAAGGAAATAAGTATTTGTACCCTCAAATCTTGGGTGAGAACCTTCTTCCCTCAGCCAGGGCATTGAAAATGGGTGGTGGATGGGGGTTCCAGCATGACAATGACCCAAAACACACGGCCAAGGCAACAAAGGAGCGGCTCAAGAAGAAGCACATTAAGGTCCTGGAGTGGCCTAGCCAGTCTCCACACCTTCATCCGATTGATAATCTGTGAAGGGAGCTGAAAGTTCGAGTTGCCAAACGTCAGCCACCAAACCTTAATGACTTGGAGAGGATCTGCCAAGAGGAGTGGGCCAAAATCCCTCCTGAGATGTGTGCGAACCTGGGGGCCAACTCCAGGAAACGTCTGACTCCTGTGATGGCCAACAAGGGATTGACCACCAAGTACTATGTCATGTTTTGTGAAGGGGATCAAATCCTTCTTTCCCTCATGAACATGCAGATCCGTCATCATTTGTTAGACGCATTTCTGCTGAATTTGTTGTTGTATTCTGTCTCTCAGTGTTACACCGAACATTCCATTGTTAGACCGATCATTTCTGTGTGAGGGGCGAACATTCCATTGTTAGACCGATCATTTCTGTGTGAGAGGCGAACATTCAGCATCAGGGGGGGGGCAAATACGCATTTCCTGCACTGTATCTCTCATAGATGACAAGGATGAGTTTATAGGGAAGTTGGTGAATTGTTGATGTGAACACAACAAAACAGAAAGGTGCAAAGGTCATTACCTAATCACTGTGGGATGTTTATCCAGATATGTAATGTTTGTTTTTATTGTTCATGTGGGGACTGCTCCTATTTCTAAAGTGTATAAAAACCTGTATATAAATGGAGAAACAGAAAAAGGGCGCACCGACCTAGTGCATTATCGTTTAAAATAATTAATTGAAGAAACAAAATAGGTATCATACTCACAATGGACATAATAACACAGGCATGTCAAAACTGAACAAGATGTATGATCCACACAACATCTGAGTCCATACGATGGAACCCTAGATGACCAACTCACTAACGCGTTTCGAGGACACAACCTCTTCCTCAGAGCCAAAAACCTGTATTGCTGTTCAATAAACAGTTCCAGTTGCCCCTAAGTTAGCGTCGTCTAGTCCTTGGGTGCAATGTCCAGCTACGTATTTTCGATACTTTGTTCACATTGGGATAATTTTTACGTCACCGTTTGTATTTGAGGAAAGCGCGGCACTCTTCTTGTATCATTCTGTTCATGAATGTCTCCATCGCTATCTCCATCAAAAGGGGATTATTTTCTAATTTTGAAGAACATTTAGAAAAATGTATTTTTTTTTTTGTCTGACGTGCGCCTGATGGCGTTCCTGCAAGGTGTAGCCGGAACTCCTCGCTGATCATGGCGGTAACAAACAGCCGGCGTTTTATTTTGCGAGGATGATAAACCTCGGAGGGGAATGATTAGGACGCGCGGCGCCGATGGTCTGCCGGTAGATTATTAGAAGAAGTTATTTTACTATCTGTGACGGCTTCATTATCTCGGCGTTCGGCTGGCTGAACACGACACGGTTTTAATGACAAGAAAAACATTTCCTCGCCGCCTCTTCCCCGAGAGTGCGCCTGACAACCGGCAGTCTGCGAGCATCTGTTCTGCGACCCAACGGGAGAAAAGAACGCTCAAGTAGGTCCACGGCTCTTCTCATTTTTCGTGAATTCAGCGAAAAGTCCGGCTTTCTGAGTTCGCGCAAAACCCAACTCCAGCTCCAGTTGGAAATGAACGTGAATATTGCCCTCCAAGCCCGGGGTTCACACTGGTGCGGTCCGGAATTCACAGCGTTCAGCGTTTCAGAATCGCTCCCCAATCATGCGAACCGCGGTGGGTGTATGTTGGGTTAACCACTTGCCGACCGCAGATAGCTGAATGACGTGCTGCCCATCAGTGCCGCCCATCAGTGCCGCCAGTCAGTGCTGTCAGTCAATGCCACCCATCAGTGCCCAGCAGTGCCACCCATCAGTGCCAAGCAGTGCCCATCATTGTTGCATATCAGTGCCAGCTCATCAGTGCTGCCTTTCAGTGCCACCCATCAGTGCCGCCAGTCAGTGCTGTCAGTCAATGCCACCCATCAGTGCTCATCATTGTTGCATATCAGTGCCACCTTATCAGTGCTGCCTTTCAGTGCCACCCATCAGTGCTCATCATTGTTGCATATCAGTGCCACCTTATCAGTGCCAGCTCATCAGTGCTGCCTATCAGTGCCCATCAGTGCAGCCTCATCAATGCACATCAGTGAAGGAGAAAAAAATCCCTGTTTGCAAAATTTTTATATAGAAACAAAGAAAAACTTTTTTATTTTATATATATTTTTTTGTTTATAGCGCAAAAAAAATAAAACCCCCAGAGGGGAGTAAATACCACCAAAAGAAAGCTCTGTTTGTGTGAAAAAAATTATAAAAATTTCATCTGGGTACAGTGTTGCATGACCGCGCAATTGTCATTCAAAGTGCGACAGCACTGAAAGCTGAAAATTGGCCTGGACAGGAAGGGGGGTAGAAGTGTCCTGTAGGCAGGAAGGGGGGTAGAAGTGCCCTGTAGGCAGGAAGGGGGTAGAAGTGCCCGGTAGGCAGGAAGGGGGTAGAAGTGTCCGGTAGGCAGGAAGGGGGTAGAAGTGTCCTGTAGGCAGGAAGGGGGTAGAAGTGTCTGGTAGGCAGGAAGGGGGTAGAAGTGTCCTGTAGGCAGGAAGGGGGTAGAAGTGTCCGGTAGGCAGGAAGGGGGTAGAAGTGTCCAGTAGGCAGGAAGGGGGTAGAAGTGCCCTGTAGGCAGGAAGGGGGTAGAAGTGTCCTGTAGGCAGGAAGGGAGTAGAAGCGCCCGGTAAGCTGGAAGGGGGGTAGAAGCGCCCGGTAGGCAGGAAGGGGGTAGAAGTGCCCGGTAGGCAGGAAGGGGGTAGAAGTGTCCTGTAGGCAGGAAGGGGGTAGAAGCGCCCTGTAGGCAGGAAGGGGGTAGAAGTGTCCTGTAGGCAGGAAGGGGGTAGAAGTGTCCTGTAGGCAGGAAGGGGGTAGAAGTGTCCTGTAGGCAGGAAGGGGATAGAAGTGTCCTGTAGGCAGGAAGGGGGTAGAAGTGTCCTGTAGGCAGGAAGGGGGTAGAAGTGCCCTGTAGGCAGGAAGAGGGTAGAAGTGTCCTGTAGGCAGGAAGGGGGTAGAAGTGCCCTGTAGGCAGGAAGAGGGTAGAAGTGTCCTGTAGGCAGGAAGGGGGTAGAAGTGTCCTGTAGGCAGGAAGGGGGTAGAAGAAGTGCCCTGTAGGCAGGAAGGGGGGTAGAAGTGCCGATAGGCAGGAAGGGGGTAGAAGTGTCCTGTAGGCAGGAAGGGGGTAGAAGTGTCCTGTAGGCAGGAAGGGGGTAGAAGTGCCCTGTAGTAGGCAGGAAGAGGGTAGAAGTGTCCGGTAGGCAGGAAGGGGGTAGAAGTGTCCGGTAGGCAGGAAGGGGGTAGAAGTGTCCGGTGGGCAGGAAGGGGGTAGAAGTGCCCTGTAGGCAGGAAGGGGGTAGAAGTGTCCGGTAGGCAGGAAGGGGGTAGAAGTGTCCTGTAGGCAGGAAGGGGGTAGAAGTGCCCTGTAGGCAGGAAGGGGGTAGAAGTGCCGATAGGCAGGAAGGGGGTAGAAGTGTCCTGTAGGCAGGAAGGGGGTAGAAGAAGTGTCCTGTAGGCAGGAAGGGGGTAGAAGTGTCCTGTAGGCAGGAAGGGGGTAGAAGTGCCCTGTAGGCAGGAAGAGGGTAGAAGTGTCCTGTAGGCAGGAAGGGGGTAGAAGTGTCCTGTAGGCAGGAAGGGGGTAGAAATGCCCTGTAGGCAGGAAGGGGGTAGAAGTGTCCTGTAGGCAGGAAGGGGGTAGAAGTGTCCTGTAGGCAGGAAGGGGGTAGAAGTGTCCTGTAGGCAGGAAGGGGGTAGAAGTGTCCTGTAGGCAGGAAGGGGGTAGAAGTGCCCTGTAGGCAGGAAGAGGGTAGAA